CAACCTCAACCCTTTAGGTTTTCTCAACCCGAATGTAAACGCCGCTTTAGCTTTTCTCTCCGGTGACGTGGACGGGCAGGTATTGCAGCCTGTGCACTTCCAGCTCCTAGCAACCCTCCTTCAGAACCAAGCCCAGGCAGCTGCCATGCTGCCCCTGCCATCCTTCAATCTGACCATCTCAGATTTGCTGCAGCAGCAGAACCCCCCCGGGCCCCCAGCTGAGCACCTGCCCAGCGCCCAGGCAGACAGCGGCAGGGTGGACACCCTCCTGGGCACCCCCCTCCCCAGCTTCTCGGGCTCTGACACAGCTCCTAACCCCCTGCTCCTCCCCACTGCCTCTGGGGCCTCAGCACTAATGGCCTTGAACCCCCAGCTGGTGGGAGGTGTCCTCAGCTCCGCGGCCACCGCTAACCATCCGGAGGTTTCCATAGCCACCTCCTCCCAGGCAACCACTACCACAACCACTACATCATCAGCAGTGGCAGCACTGTCTGTCTCGACCCTGGGTGGTGGGACAGCAGTGGTGTCAATGGCAGAAACATTGCTGAACATATCTAATAATGCTGGGAGTGCTCCTGGTCCAGCTAAGCTCAACAATAACTCTGTGGTGCCACAGCTACTTAACCCTCTACTGGGGACAGGTCTGCTTGGTAAGTTCAATTTCTTCCCAGATATAACAGGAAAATAAAGGAAGGAAGAGGGTTGGGGAGGGGGAATTTTGGAGTTTTAAAAATTCCACTTCATCATCCTTTTGCTTTTTTTTTTTTAAGGCTTTGGTGTGTTACAGCTTTATGGAGGAAACGTAACTGTTCTTCTAAGACATTTCAAGCACATTCTACTTGCATTCCATGAGATTTAATAGTGAGGTTCTTTGTTCTGATGCCACCCAGAACCCACTCTAGACCCCTGGAAATCCTGGAAGCACTTGGGGTTGGCTCCAGGGTGCATCCCTGGGTGCAGTGTGGCAGCACAGGGTCAGTGCAAGGGGCTGTGCAGGAGGTGACAAGTGGCAACACCTAACCCCAAAGCAAGTACTTAAAAAGCCTTTAAATACAAGAGTTTTCTCCTGGACAATGATTTGGTGATGATTTTTTGCCAGGAACATGTGATAGAGTTAATACTTCTCTGTTTGCTCTGTGTAATCTCATACTACTAGGAGGAACTAAACAGTGGCAAAGTGTGTTTTAATCCATACCTCACACTGACCTACTAAATGGCTACAGTGAACTCAACCCATTTTCCATGTAAAATGCAACTAAGCAGTGATTCTGCAAATGGAAATTTTAAGGGAAACATGAGCTTTTAATTAAAAGGAACAGACTAGGAAATGGGATGTATTTTGAAGCTTTCTTATTTCATAGTGAGGTTCAGTGGTGTATTTATTCTACTAGAATTCTCATGTCAAGTGAGATTTTGGTGTAATACAAAATGTTACACCATTTTTTTTACTCTAGAATGTAAAATAGTTGTTTCAGGTGTTGAAATGTCTGAGCCCAAAAGCCTTTCCTCAGCCACAGTTAGCTCACGTTGTTCTGTCTTAGTTAATGCAAAAACAGTTTTGTTGGGGTTTTAAATTGTCTTCTCTTTGTCTCTCTCTCCTCCTCCTCCTCCTCCTCCCCATCCCAGTACTGTTTGAAGTAAGATTCCAGGACATGGACTGTCAGAGAGGCTCCTTCTACCTTACTTGGCTGTTCCAGAGGCCAAGAGTCATGTCAGAGACCTTTAGCCACAGCCCAGATAGATGTGCTGTGCCAAAGATCCAGTGCTGAAGAAATAAAGAGTAGGAGTGATGCCTCGAGGAGCATTCCATAGAAGACTGAAGGGGAACAGTGTTGTTTTACAGAGGCAATTCTTAGCAGTCAGTTACAATTTGAGTCAAGGCAGTTCCTCCTGACTGCAGGAATCAGCTCTGACTTGTGTTTCCCTGTGTTTGAATTGCAGGTGATGTGTCATCTCTGAACACTACTCTGAATAACCATCAGCTGAGTCATCTCCAGTCGCTGCTAAACAACAATCAGATGTTCCCTTCAAACCAGCAGCAGCAGCAGCAGCAGCAGCACCTTCTGCAGGGGTACCAGAACATGCAGGGCTTTCAGGGCCAGCCCCAAATCCCTGGCCCAGCTAACAACCCCAACCCCATGGCATGTCTGTTCCAAAACTTCCAGGTAGAAAGCAAAATGAAATCGATATTCAAACAAATGTGCAACACTCAGGAGGTAAAATTAGATCCTCCAGGGGTTGATTTCTTTGCTGAGTGAGACAGTGTGATATATGTATACAGAGTATCCTCTCTCAGTAGTTTATGGATTTTGCAAATCAGTAACATTTGTTATTGAAATGTTATACATTTCTCCTTAGGAGTTGGGTTTGGTTTCTCTGGGATGAGTTCTGCTGCGTGGGGTGAAAACAACTGCTGTGTATGTGCTGACAATTCCTATACATTTTTAGCAAAACTCTTTTCCATGCCACGGAAATGATGCTAAATTCCCATTTAGCCCCTTCTGGTAATTCAGTGGTGAGAAATAAACCTTGAAACCACTTTAGAGTAATTAGAAGCTTGGTCAGTTGTTGTAGTGCAAACCCTCAGTCCTCTGCCTCTTCCCTCTCTTCCATGAACTTTGGTAGCTTGAGCTCAGTATTTTTTGCATCCTGTTCCCACTGGTATAAATACATGGTAAGTAGTTAAAGGGCTTGGGGAATATTTTCCCCTTGTTTTTTGGCAGGTTTTGTTAGTGCTCTTATTATTATATTCTTCTGTTACCTTCTCTGCCTGTGGATGTGCCAAGGAGTGCAGAAAGCTCTGCTGGTTTAATGTGGAGGTGCCAGTTTGCTGTGGCAGTGCCTGACTTAAGCTGCAGGTGTGGAATTCAGGGGGCTGGAGGCAAAGAAATCCCCTAAGGGAGGCACCAAAAGAGGAAAAATGGGAATGCTGGTGGATTCCTAAAGGCCAGTGATGGCCTGCAGTCCAGGAATTGAATGGGGAGCAGACAAGGAGGACAGGAGCAATGTTAGGGTCTGGGAAGGAATGGGAGAGAGTGAGAGGAGTTGAGAACAGAACTTGGAGGTTGTGGAGTCTCCTCTGAAAATACACAGAACCCACCTGGGTGTGATCCTGTGCAACCTGCTTGAGCAGGAGATTGGAGGAGATTGTCTGAGCTGGAGAAGCCTGGAGAGGAGAAGGTTGTGTGGAGACCTTATAACATCTTCCAGTACCTAAAGGGACCTGCAAGGAAGCTAGAGAGGGACTCTGCATCAGGAACTGGAGGGATAGGGCAAGGAGTAATGGGTACAAACTGGCAGAGGGGAAATTTAATGAGATATATTGAAGGAATTGTTCCCTGTGAGGTGCTGAGGCTCTGGCACAGGGTGCCCAGAGCAGCTGTGGCTGCTCCATCCCTGGGAGTGTTCCAGGCCAGGTTGGATGGGGTTGGAGCACCCTGGGCTGGTGGGAGGTGTCCCTGCCTAGGGCAGGGGGTGGAACAAGATGAGCTTTAAGGTCCTTCCAACCCAAAGTGTCCTGTGGTTCTGTGTCAGAACCACAGGATGTGTACTGACCTTAGAGGAGTTGCTCAGGACTCCAGAGGACAGAGGAGGCTGCAGTGCTTCAGCCAGAAGTGAAAATCCCTGAAAAGACTCTGAAAGAGATGCTAATGTTGCCTCAGCAGTGCATGGGAGGTTGTACCATGTCATGCAACATGTCCAGTTTGATCCATGAGGCAAAGTCTAAGAGCCAGGGGGGGGTTGACTTCCTCTAAGTTAGGGTTTTTTTGTTTTCTCTTTCATAACTGAGGTCTGACCAAACCCAAATGCTCTGTAACAAATGATCACCTTGCCAACATCCTGATTTTTTTAATTCAGATGAAACAAAGTTTGTCTGTTGAAGTGGAACTTAAGCCAGGATAGCAATTCCCATCTCCTTCTCTCCCTCCCCCAGGTGAGAATGCAGGAAGATGCTGCTGTGCTCAACAAAAGGATGATCACTCAAATGGGAATGGCACCAGTTCCTGAGAGCTCCAACACTATGCTTCCTCCTTTCCAAGAAACATCTTGTGATCTGCAGCAAAGGACTGACCCATCTCTTGGCCAACAGGCGAAGGACAACCTCAACGTTGCCGCTCAGGGCGATGCGTCGGTGGACGCCATCTACAAGGCGGTCGTGGACGCCGCGAGCAAGGGAATGCAGGTGGTGATCACCACTGCAGTCAGCAGCACCACCCAGATGAGTCCCATCCCAGCTTTGAGTGCCATGAGTGCCTTCACAGCCTCGATCGGTGACCCCCTGAACCTCTCCAGCGCCGTCAGCGCGGTGATCCACGGCAGGAACGTCGCCGCGGCCGAGCACGACGGGAGGGTGAGGAGCACCAGGGGGACACGAGTCCTGAAGAATTCAGAGCATGGTAAAAACCCAAGTGAAGGGGATGGGTATGAGTATTACAAACCAAGCAGTTGTAACACGCCCAAAAAACAGTGGGAAGGGGAGCAAAGTCCTGTCAGTGAGATAAACAGGTGGAAGTGTGAGGAGTTTCTAGAGCATTCCACCCATATCCACAGCAGTCCGTGCCACGAGAGGCCCAACAACATCTCCACACTGCCACTGCTACAGGGGGAGCAGCACCAGATCCTGCTGTCACAGAGAAACTGTCAGAGTGAGAAAGTGCTGGAGGAGAATTTCAGGTATAACAATTACAAAAGAACTATGATGAGTTTTAAGGAAAGGCTGGAGAACACTGTGGAACGATGTGCACACATCAATGGCAACAGGCCTCAGCAGAACAGAGGCTTTGGGGAGTTGCTCACCACTTCCAAACAAGACCTGATCCTGGAAGAGCAATCTCCAAGTTCCTCCAATAGCTTGGAAAGCTCCTTGGTTAAAGACTATATCCATTACAATGGAGATTTCAATGCCAAAAGCATTAATGGGTGTGTGCCTAGCCCCTCGGATGCTAAGAGCATCAGCAGTGAGGAGGACCTGAGGAATCCAGATTCCCCTTCTTCCAATGAGCTCATCCATTACAGGCCGAGGACGTTTAACGTGGGCGACTTGGTCTGGGGCCAAATCAAAGGACTCACTTCATGGCCTGGGAAACTGGTGAGGGAAGAAGAAGTTCACAATTCCTGTCAGCAGAACGCTGAGGAGGGGAAGGTATTACTCCTATATCTCTGCACCTCTCTGTCTCTCTCCCCCCACGGGCACAAATGGTTATCAGCACTATCCCAGTCTCTGGTTTAATCTTTGTCTCTTGCTTTAGCGACACAAATTGCTATTTCTCTTAATTACAGCTTGTAAAACTGAATTTTTCTTATAGTTATCTAATAGGAAACCTCACCGGGGCCGTGAAACAGGTTAGATTTTGGCTTTGATAATCTGTGCACAGAAAAAAATGGTGTTTACAAACTGTTCTCACTCACTTTGTGTGTTCAGTTGAACTTCTGGTTGTGTCCAAAGCAAATGATATGGAAATATCTATAAGAGTTGAAAATGCCAAAGGTCTAATCAGATGGAGGAGTGTAACAAGGGAGATCTCACTGATTGGCACACACACTCCTAGGAGAAAATGCAAACACATTTTCACCTTTTAAGGAGGTTTTGATCATCTTTTAGGAGTGAGGAAAGTGTTCCAGTTTGCTCTTTCGTACCCAGATCCTTTTTCTTTCTGTCAACAAATCATTTGTTTGTTGGGGAATGTACAGAAAATAGTTATCGAGGAGTTATTGGTTCTTTTACAAGGAAAAATATTTCTGGTCTCCACCACTTGTATAACTTTACAGCTTTGTGATTCTTACAAAATGCTTCACATCTTCCGTAGATAAATATTGTGTTTTATAAACTGCAAATTTAAAAAGTATGTGAGCAGAAAGGAGAGGTCTAAGGAAATGTGGTTGTGTCTGTGGCACAAAAATCAAACCACTTAAACATCATCTTAGTGGGTTGGGCCAAAGATACCCTGAGGAGAGAGGGTACAAGAACATGCTGAGGAATATTTCTGAGCCCCAGGGAGCACAGCTGAGGAGCTTGTGGAGCTGGAACTGGTGTGTCTGTGGTGTAACCACTGCAGGTCTTACCCCAGTGTGTAATCACAGAGTTACCTGAGACTGATCTGTAAGTATAACTTCCCCAAAGCAGAGAGTCATCACAGGATGGTTTGGGTTGGAAGGACCTTAAAGTCCATCCCATCCCTCCCCCCAGCCCAGGGTGCTCCAACCCCATCCAGCCTGGCCTGAAACACTCCCAGGGATGGAGCAGCCACAGCTGCTCTGGGCACTCTGTGCCAGAGCCTCAGCACTGAAGCTGGAACTAACTGGAGTGTGGTTTGTCCTGAGTGGTTTCAGCACTAGTCCAGAGCTTTAGTCTCTTTGCAAGTGGCTTCTCTGTTGATCTCCTTAGCCAGGAAGGTCTCCCAGAGCTCCTGTCTGAGTACAGTGACCAAAATTCTTTATAGAGACAACAATGTGCTTTAGTGGCAACATTTGAATGTTTGTCATGGTTTAACTCTATCCCAGCCCAAACCAGGACATAGCTCATTCCATAGGAAGATCAGATGCCCAAGGTCCAAGTCAGTTGATGCGGTTTAGGCACAGGGGAAACCACAAACAATTAAAGATTAAACAAAGCTGGAAAAATTAGCTGTACACTATCCCTGTCCCATGTGAGTTAGGAACACAGTGATGACACTGCACATGTTTCCAGGATGAATTTATGTATCAGCTTCAAAACTTGTGTGTCCATATCTGTGATTGGTTTGATCCAACTGAAGAGTTTGGGTTTTATAACTTCTGTAAAGAGATGAATTCTTGTTCCTTGCATTCCTTAGCAATTCCATGTTTGCTCCCCAATTTGTGGATACCAGAGTGTATTGTTGTTTTTGCTTCTATATTGCTGTGGGTTTTCTGTACATTTTGTGAGCATTGTGTGAGATTATACTCAGTGGCACCAATTTTATTGTGTAGCCAAGCACAAAAACAGGGAAGCAAAGCTTGGGAATGCTCATATGGAGACCAGTTCAAGTTCTTCATCAGGAAGTACCAAGTCATGGATCACCTCTTCAGAAGACCTTTAATCATTTTGGATAAGAATAAAATAGAAAAAGTCTCATTTTCTCCATCAGGAAGTACAGAGGGAATGACCATCCCAAAGAGCAGGAGCTGAGGGTCAGAGGTGGAATGCAGAATACCAAACCAAAAAGAAATCACCTTGGGAAGCAGATGGTCTTCAGAAGTTCTCTACAGTCCCTGGTGGGAGCCACCAGCAGCACTTCGATCGTTCTCTTTGCTGTGGAGCTTTCTGGAAGCATCTTCTGAAGCCTTTGTGTGCCCACACATGAACCTCCTGCACTGTGACATTGATGTGCTGTTGGGATCTCACAGTGCTTTGTGCATTCTCTGTTCCTCAGGGCATACATCACTCGAGTTTTGTTGCCATTGACCAGGCTCTGGGTATGGAGTGTAATGATGGGTCTGGTTGGAGAGCAGGAGCAGGGAGGGATCTGGCACCTTGTTTCCTTGGGGTTTTGGTTAGTGGGAATTAGAGCCCAAGGGAGGTGCAGCAGCAGCAGCTGCAGGGCCTGGGGAGGACAAGCAATCCTGAGTCTCCACACATCCTAACTCAGAGATGTGTGTTTCAGGACCAAAGTTTGGAGAGCAACAAGGTGAAAGTCAAATGCTGTTCTCAGTACAACTTTCCATGGGTTAAACTGTGCTGGTTCAACAGGTAACAGCAGGTGTGAGTTATCCATGTCCTGCAAATCCCATTTGTGTGTGATTCAGTGCTGTACTGTTGGACAAGCAGGTGATGTTACTAACTGGAACGTTCCATACCCTGTTACGTAGCACTTTGATACTTCAGAAAAGAAGTGTTAGCAGTTTTCTTACTACATAAAAATCTCTATTCTATAACCATCACAAAATGGCAACGATGAAGATACTGAGTCCTTTTCGTACCTCACAGAAGTAATTTGTTATCCAAACACAATTAACTCTTCATGACAATATTTACCTTTGGATTTTCTTGTTCATCTCATGACAGGTGTTTACAGCCCTTGGCACTTTGGTCCACGGATATATATATCATAGGGATAGGGATAATTCCTTTTCTGCTCATGTTTATCCTTAGAGAAGCTCCCCAGGTTTTCAGCAGATTTCCTCTGTGTGCATCTGTATTCTCCCAAATTCCTGAGGAGGAGAGGGATTGTTGGGAGTGTTTCCAGCCTGGCATTAAAAGTGAACACAGATTTAAGGGGAAAATACTACAATTTGTGGCATAATTGAATGTGTTTGATGAAAACTGAAATCTCACCTGTCCATGTGCTGTTGGAAGGCAGGAGGGCTCTGCAG